GTATTGTCACGCCTTTGGTAAGCGCCTATCAGATTTCTCGGGTTTTTGGTTTTGTTAGTTGGCGATATATGATTTAATTGGATTATCATAATGTAAATGGTAGGTTAACGCGATAATGTAGTGTTTGCATATCGAATGTGTTGTGTGAATTATTATTAGTATAGAAATATTATCGAATTGAGCAAGCAAATTCATAGACAACCTAATTTGTTTGAGGTTTTGTTTTTTGTTGTATCACTGGTGGTGATCATTTTCGAAAGCTGAAAGTTCTCAGACATTGGGCAAACCTGTATTTAAATGCGAAATTTCGATATGTCGGCGAAACGTGTCACCTGCAAGCTTTTCCATTTTGTTTTATCATCGCAACATTTCAATATGTATCAGAAATGATTTAAATGGTGCCAAATATAGAAAAGAAATCCTTAGCAAAGAACATTCATTAGTCTTTAACCACACACGCACACACACACACACACTGACATATATATATATATATATATATATATATATATATATATATATATATATATATGCATGTATATATTTATATATGTATATATTAATTAGTTAAGCTTTCAAAAATTTTATTTAAGGAACTTATAGGATTAAAATATTTTCAAGTTATTTCTATCGTTATTATTATATTTATTATTGTTTTAAACATATTTGCTTACTTAATACTTTCATTTTAGAAATTGGTACTCAGCATCTGGCAACCTTATATATATATATATATATATATATATATATATATATATATTTACATAGGACTAACGTGTAATGTTTTATACCTATCTGTAATTTAAAGCAAGAAAGATTGTTTCTATCTGAATTCCTGTGATGAAGATTTATCATTATTTACATTATTTACATTCAGACTAATGTCTTCATCTCCATCATCTTCAGCTTCCTGTTGAAATTTCGTTATTGTTACCCAGATTCAAAGACCCATGAAGAAAGTAAAACGGACGAAATATTATGATGATACTGACTTTAGTTTGAATGTAAATAAGAATGTTGTAGAAAAGGTTATAAGTTTTAATATGGGAATTGTTTCGTGAAAGTATTTTAGTCAATCGGATATATTTAATGATGCCAAGATGAAGGACAGTACTGTTTTTTAGTTGATTATGTTTTCCCTGAATGATTTTGATAAATCCATTCTTTACATATGAACGATTTTCAGAAATACAAATGATATACAATAAATGGAAACAAATCTCTAACAAGAACAGGTTAATATTTGGAATAAAAAATAAAATAATCTGTGGCAAATATATATATCAAAAGATAAAAAAATAATTGTATCAGTCGTTGTCGAAAGTATGATTTGGTGTTTGTTCGAAAATACTTCTCCAAGTTGACGATTGAACCATAACTGGAAGAGAAAAGGAAAAGAAAATTATTTATACATCCATAGATACCTTAACACGATGCAAGACTTGAGAGCGACTCAAGGTAGAGGATTACTAAATAAGTTTTATGGTGATAAGAAGTGAACATTATAAGGATAAGGAGTACAGAAAGTGCTTTCCTGAACACCACAAACTTTACCTCTTCAAGTCAGGGGTCAATCGTTATCTATCCTACTTATCCTTGTTAATTGAATATCGGCACTCTTAACCAGTGACTGGCAGATGGATGATTTGGGAATACAATTATCGAGATTTGTTCAGAAACATGAATTTGAAAATTGTCTCCGAATGAATTTAGGGCATAATGTTTTTCCTTTTTATTTAATGGTTGCCTTTTGTCGGTAAAAGCAAAAATATATAAATTTGCTTAAAGAAATAAAAAATAAAAAGTCCAGTTCTCACCTCAGATAAATGCTGACCACTTAATATAGTTTTGGTCGGTTGATTCTGAACTGAAAAGAAAAGAAAACAATGTTATATATATATATATATATATATATATATATATATATATATATATATATATATATATATATATATATATATATATATATATATCAGATCCCAACATAGTATTGGTGCAGTAACCTTCTCGGCAGCTGGTTTAGCCAGTCACATGAGTTCACACTAGAGAAGTCAGATTCAAACTCCTGTGAATGAAAACCTTCTAAAAAGACCTGCGGGTTATTTGTTCGAGTTTTGTGACAAGGTTTGTAAGTCTGTCACAGGACTCAAACATTACATGGTTGAACACGGGGACAGGCAAGTTCCCAACATAGGTAACTGTTGTGCCATAGTACCTATTCTTTGGTAATGGACTCTCCCATAGATAATAAGTAGGAGTGGCAGTGGCAAGTCTGCAGAATGGCGACTCGCGGTCTTTGACTGCGGACGCCTCCTGTCGAACTCTCTGCGTTAGCAGAGAGGAACCCGGACGAGGCTTTGCCGAAGGGCAAGGTTTCGTCCGGGAGGTAGGCAGGCCTGAACCCGTCTAATCGGCTTCAAAAGGCTATTTTTTTGGCCGAGCCTACGGGCTCGGGGAAACCCACATAAAAACCGGCCTTGTGCCATATTCTTTTCCGTGGGTGAAAAGATAAATACCGAATAGCGTCTCGCGGTCTTTGACTGCGCACGCCTCCTGTCGAACTCTCTGCGTTAGCAGAGGAACCCGACGAGGCTTTGCCGAAGGGCAAGGTTTCGTCCGGGAGGTAGACAGGGGCCTGAACCCGTCTAATCGGCTTCAAAGGCTATTTTTTGGCCGAGCCTACGGGCTCGGAGAAACCCACAATAAAACCGGCCTTGTGCCATATTCGTTTCCGTGGGTGAAATGATAAATACCGAATGGCGTCTCGCGGTCTCTGACTGCGCACGCCTCCTGTCGAACTCTCTGCGTTAGAAGAGAGGAACCCGACGAGGCTTTGCCGAAGGGCAAGGTTTCGTCCGGGGAGGTAGACAGGGCCTGAACCCGTCTAATCGGCTTCAAAAGGCTATTTTTTTGGCCGAGCCTACGGGCTCGGAGAAACCCACAATAAAGCCGGCCTTGTGCCATATTCGTTTCCCGTGGGTGAAATGATAAATACCGAATGGTGTTGAGAACGTCAGTCGAGATTCGGACATTTGAAGTACCAACCATCACAACTAGATTTGCTGCGTCATTGACTATTATTTTCTAAGTTCCTAACGTTTTGTACGACTTATTAGAAATACAAGCCTCCACTGTGAAAATACTCCACAACAGTAACACAGACAAATTTATGTTTGCCACGTGTGTAAAAGAGTTTGTAAAAGTGAAGCTGACCTTAAGAATCACTTACGGCTCATAGCAGAGCGTTTGCTCAGGTATAGATTTTTTTAAGCGTTTCACCCGAAGCAAGGCGGAAGACACTAGCACGCAAGGGGGTTACAGAGAGTTGCAGCGAGAGCAAATAGGAATGATAGAAGAAAGGATGAAGAGAAGGATATGGGATAGATCAAGGCATCTGGAGACGTCGATTGACATTACATTTGAATAGTTGGAGATTGTACCTATCTGGGAAACAAGAAATGGGGAGGGAGTTCCACAGGCGAGAGGTGCGAGACATGAAGCTATTGGATTAGAAGAGACGGCTACATTTAACAGTTTAAACAGTGAAAGGGTGAGAGGGAGATGCCAGCCTAGTAGAACGCTTAAATTCATGAAGTCTGGGGACCAGCGAAAGCAGTTCATCGGAGCAGTTACCGTGAAAGTATTTATAAAAAGACAGAGGGAGGCGACGGCACGTCTGTGAGAGAGCGACTGCAGACGAGATGCCAGATCAGGGCCAATAATTCATCTTGTCGAATAGTTTCGGACCCTCTACCGAGAAGAATAGTTTTATAAAGTGCACCAATATTGGACATGTGGTCGTAAAGAGCACTTGCAGAGACTAATGCAGGGTTCAGGGAAATTATATACGATCTGTCTGTAAGAAGGTCACGGAAAGGAGAGGAAGATTGTCGATGCTAAAAATAAATGCTATGGGAAATCTTAGTACAATTACTGTCGGTATTGAAGGCGTAAGCTATAGAGCACTCATAGATAAAGGAGCAGAGATTTCGATTATGTACAGGAGGGTGTTTGACACTATAATAATAATAAGCCTTCTATTGAAGATAGACAAATAAACTTATAAACAGCTAACAGGACATACTTGAAGGTCGACGGGTATACGACAATAAATTTTCGAAGTGGTCGACCAGCAGTCAAACACGGATTCTATGTGATTCGAAATTTAAACAGAATTATTATTTTAGGTCTTGATTGGCTGCATGAAAATGGCGCACGCATTTACTACTATTGATGATATATACGCGTCTTTAGAAGAGGATCTCCTTATAGCGAAAATAGCACGGATGACCTTTGACATCACATTAAATGTTTAGTTAGAATGAGGAATAAGTTAGAGAAAGAACAACCACATTACATAGAACAGATAGATTCGGGATATCTAAGTAATTTCCCAGGTATTTCGGTGACGAATGCGTTAGTAAGGACGAATAACCATAGGAAGATACCGATAGTTGTTATTAACATAAAAAAAATCAAACCGTTAGACTTCGTCGAGGATGTGTAGTGGGTAGAATTTCTCCAGCTGTCAACGTAAATACTGTGCCCAGTGGTGGTAGCAGTGGTAGTAATAATACAGATATCAATAATGTCGTTGTACCTAGTGAATTTAGGGTTAGTTATTAGAAGAAAATAAGGATTTATTTGTGGCTACAGATAGAGATCTCAGTAGACCTGATACAGCGAAAATGAGGATCGATACTGGTCGCCACCGCCCAAAAGAAGAAGCCGTATTGTACGCCTTTGAAGCTCCGAGATCAAGTAGATAAGGACATCGATAAGATGTTGGATGCTATGGTGATAGAAAAATCACGAAACCCCTGGTCTTTTGCTATAGTTTTAGCCTAGACAAAAGGATGGAACAAAACGTTTTTGCGTTGTCTTGTTTTTAAATGAAGTAACTCAGAGTAACACATAGCCACGACTCGTTATTGATGATATATTAACAACCTTAGATAACGCTAAGTAGTTTTCTAAATTAGATTTGAAGTCTCGGGTCATTGGCAAATGGAGATAAATGAGCGAGATAAGTAGAAAACACCTTTTTCTTCCCATAGGGGAACTGTTTTATTGTAATTGCATGCCTTTTGCATTAACAAACAAGCCTAGTATTTTCCAGGAATTAATGTCTGTTGTTTTAGATGGGATGGAAAATTATGCAGCTGCGTATAGAGACGATATTTTAATTTTCTTCGCGACAAAGAAAGATCATGTACAAAATGTATATAACCAGCTACATAGCCATCAACTTAAATCTATTTTTTGATGAAAGAGATACATAGGTTTTACTGTAAATAGGGACGGCTTTAAGCCTGATACGGATAAAATAACGCCAACAAAAACATTAACTACTAGCAGTAGAGCCCGGCGTTGCCCGGGGATGTAACAGTAAGAGATAGATCAAGTATCGACCATCATAAAGACTGAAAAATAAAATTGACAAAGATTATTGTTTAAGGTTGACGGACACGCATGTCTTAATTAGTTTTTTTTTTGTTTTTATTACGAATTGGTCAAACCCAAACTTAAACAAAAACATTTTTTTCAATCGTTATGAGTCTACCAATTGAATAGAATTTTATTATAAACAATTGTCTTGTAAATAAAATTTTTAAAGCATTCTGAATGTAAAAATAAAGAAAAAAGTGTGCAAGAGAATAAGAAACACTACCTGCCAAAAAAAAAAAGTGAAATTTTGTTGAAATCGGTTGAAAAATGTAGGAAATCCGATCCCATATATAAACGAACACACACACAAACAAACAACCTGGGTTTTATAATAAGTATAACTCGATAGGAGTTGTCCCCCTTTCATTCTCGCGATGACTCTTAATCGTGTTTTCAAATTGATTTCATGCAAAAACAATTGTGTTTTTCCAATTTTTGCCGCTGTCAGAACCACCGCAAGGTAATTTTATGTAGTCCTGTGAAGTTTTGTTGAAATCGGTTGAAAAATGTAGGAAATCCGATTATATATTTATAAACGTACAGACACACACACACACACACACACACACACACGCCCCCCCCACACAACCTGGGTTTTATAATAAGTATGATTACCATGAAAATTGAACAGGTTCGTAGGTTTATTGCAATGTATTCATATTACAGGCACTTTGTTAGGAATTTTTCGGAACCGGCAAACCCACTAATTTAATTGACAAGTGTTGTGACCAAGTAAATGGTTAAAGAAATAACAAAACAAGTGCTGCAGATATATCATAACTGTTATAGGAACTTACCCATAATAATAATGGACTATTCCTGACAGTATAAATACTGCGCCTCTCAAGAGGTATGAGGATGTTGTAAGACGAGATGAGATAATTGAGAGCATATTGTAAGGACATTGGAATAGTGATACTTGTCGAGACAACATAGTTCACTCTAACCAAATCTGATAGTCATTACTAATACTTCTACTTCTTTGTATTATATTTCTGTTGTAATATATCTTTTTATTCCATACCTGTGTTCGTGTTATTCTTTCATTGGATCTAACCTTGGATCATCACCGTGGTACAAGGAACTTGGACCATAACAATATATTGAACAGTAAGTACAACAGAAGGGTATTACACGACTAGTGAGTGTGTGTCGGTTGACCCAGCGTTCAATCTATTCTACTGTTAATATTTAACAGTACCCCCACAAGGGATGTATGTGCCACAAGGCCGAGTTTACCGTGGGTTCTCCGAGCTCGTTGGCTCGGCCAAAAATATTCCCTTAGAACCCGCATAAACGAGTTCAGGGACTGTCTACCTCCCCAGACGAAACCTTGCCCTACGGCAAAGCCTCGTTCGAGTTCCTCTCTGCTCGAAGAAGAGAGTTCGACAGATGAACAATCTATTCGACTTTTAATATTTAACAGCCCCCCCCCCCGCATAAAGGATGTATGTGGCACAAGGCCGGTTTATTGTGGGTACTCCGAGCTTGTAGGCTCGGCCAAAGCTTCGTCCGAGTTCCTATCTGCCGAGGCAGAGAGTTCGACAGAAATGAACAGTCTGGTCGACTGTTCCCTCAAGGCCTTCTCTCCAACTAATCTTATAGTAGGCGAAAGAGTTCAACATAGACTCCTTAGAGGGAGGACACCACAGCAACAAGAGAGAATGCCAGGGTGAAGTGGACAGATAGTTGTCAGCGAGCCTTTGATCTTTTAAAAGGTCAACTTAGTTCAGTCTCTATACTCACTTATAGTAAGCGGAAGAGTCCAACATAGACTCTTTAGAGGGAGGGCACCACAACAAGAAGAAATAATGAAAGGTTGACGTGGACGGACAGTTGTCAGCGAGACTTTGATCTTTTAAAAGGTCAACTTAGTTCAGTCTCTATACTCACCCGGATCTAAATAGGCCATATAACCTCTATACAGACGTTTCGAATTCAGCAATAGGCACGTGCCTGTCGCAAACACAGTTTGACGAAGTAGCAAGGAAGGAGATAGAAAAGGCCCTTTATTTTCTGTCTCACTGATTAAATAATCCGCAAACCCGCTGGCCGGCTATAGAAATGCTATTGTTTACGCATTACAAAAACAAAATCACTCCCTTCATAATGCGAAATTTATAATATTTATGTACCATAAGCCTCTTCAGTACATTTTGAAGTCACCAATACAAAATAAAAAAGATTCATCTGTTGGCCCTTAGTATCGAGAGATATGATTGTAGGCTAGAATATTTAGCAGGTAGAAATAATGTGTGTGCTGATCTCATATCAAGATCATCCTACCCACCAGGGAATAAGGATTTTAAGCCATTAGACATAGATGATCGAACGTAATTAACTCCAATGAGTTCGAACCGAAAGATTTTGCATCGTATAACCTATAAGAAAACCCAGTTACAAATGAAGTGAAACCACAAATAGAGGGTGTAAACATTAGTTTAGAACAAAATGCAGATACGAACATTAAGGAACTGAAACACCTTACAACAGGTAAAGTAAGTGTTAAGGAAGGAAATAAGGTGTTATACTGGAAGATATACTTTACTATTTATCAAAGACGACGAACCTGCCATACAATTATATGTCCCAAACTATGAAGATTATACGACAGTATTATGATGACAATGGACACGTAGGAATAGAAAAGAGTGCGAGAGCTAAAAAAAAATACAGAAATGTATCTGTGAAACTATTAATGTCGCTAAGAGTACATTTGCAAATTTCTTTCTTTAATGAGTGACAGGGAAAAAGAAGAAGAAGTAATAGTCGAGGAGATCCGGGGTTAAAGTTTGTTTTTATGTTTAAGGAAGAGAAGAATGAAAAAAATCAGACAAAATCTATTTGATGAGAATATTGTTTTCCCGAAATAACGAGATTAGTTTAAATTTTTTGTAGTGTGATGGGTCCATGAATGGTGTTGAGAGGGACTTCAATGAAATTGAACGAACAATGGAATATTGATCCGGAGTATTGGTGTCGGCTAGAAAATAAAAACAAAAAAAAACCAAAGTTGTGGATAACAACAACAGAGTGGAATTGCTCTGTAGCATGTGAGATGAGAACTTCCTTTGATTTATTGCTTCCAAAAAAATCCTTATCTTATCACCAAATATAGACAAGGTTATTTTAAATTTTGTTTCTTTCTCAAGTGACACTTATTTGAACTGTTATTCCTTTTTGTTATTATTGTTGAAATTTTATTTATTGATTTCTTTATTGATTATTTTATGTGTGCTGTAAATTGATTTCTTTATTGATTATTTTAAGTGTGCTGTAAATTGATTTCTTTATTGATTATTTTATGTGAGCTGTAAATTGATTTCTTTATTGATTATTTTATGTGTACTGTAAATTGATTTCTTTATTGATTATTTTAAGTGTGCTGTAAATTGATTTCTTTATTGATTATTTTATGTTTGCTGTATTTGATTTCTTTATTGGTTATCTTATGTGTGCTGTAATTGATTTCTTTATTGATTATTTTATGTGTGCTCTAAATTGATTTATTTATTGATTATTTATGTGTGTTGTAAATTGATTTCTTTATTGGTTATTGTTAGGACGGATAAAAACATATATTCCCAGGGAAATAACTCCTTCCTGTTTCAAACAGAGTACTTCCTTTTTGCCTCTGACCAAACCATGTGAGTCACGTGATCAACGCGATTTTGCGAGGCGTGTCGCACAAAAAAGGGAGCAGTTTGGAACATGGCTACGAGACAATAAGGACGCTATATATTCTCCTGTCGCAACGGCTGTGACACACAACCCAGTAACTTGGGACCGTGATTTGTACATACCTAAATATATGTTGTAATGTTCTCCCGTGAATAAATGGTAATTGCAAGCCAACCGTGAGTAGTAATTTACTCTTTTCTTATCGCATCACCCGTTTCTCCATGTGCCGCACACGCACACACACATATATTCATTCACGGACCGTGAATCAAAACTGCATTCAAGGAATTTCATTTGATAGTTATGAGACTGCAACCATACGCGCGTTCATAACAATTATTTTATGTGTGCTGTTAATCCAAAATATTGCTGTAGTGGAGGACGTCGGGGAGGAGAACGAACAAAATATATAACGGTATTTTTTTTCTTTAAGAAGGGGACGGATGTAGTAATGTAAGTTAAGTTTAAAACAACTCGATACGGAACATTTATTTGTGACCGACGGCTAGCAATAATTGAACTTCAAAGTACAAGAGCAAGAGGCTCAGACTGAGAGAGAGAGTGGCGGAAAGAATATTAATTACTTTTTTGGACGAAGATGACAGGACAAAAAAAACTGTTGTCTATAAAACTGACCATCTCGTGCAAAGGAAAACAGGATAAACGAAGTGACCTACAGAAAAGACATAGAGGCAGCTGAATTGTGCATCCTTTCCCACACACACACCTCACTTAGACCTCAGTCTGCCTTCGCGGGTTTATAGTAGTAAAACACTTCCTAAGAAAGGAAGAATTTAAGAAAAGAAAAAATCAAATTACTTACACTGCCTTGTCTTTCGAGCATCGTACTTAGATAGTATCCGGGAGTAGCTGAAGTACAAAAATAAAAGATTAAATCTTCACCCACGCAACAATACCTTATAAATCTTAACGAAAAATTCCTTAGATATATCATGGCAGGTGATGAGAAGTGGGTTACATACGACAATGTTCAACACAAAAGGCAGTCGACTGACAAGGATACGCTTCCACAAACGGCCACAAAAACTGAGCTCAATGAAAGAAAGTTAATGTTGTGCGCATGGAGGGGGGATCGTTGAAGTTTTTATACATACCTACATACATATATATATATATATATATATATATATATATATATATATATATATATATATATATATATGTATATGCTAATTTTAACAAAATCCCTTCATACTCACGAATAACCTTCCATGTATTGATATTAAAAGATGTAAGACATGTGCTATAACTATATTTAAATTTCTTTTGTTTTCAATTACCAATAAAAAATTAAAATTATAAAAAAATAAAATTAATTATATATTAAAAAATAAGAAAATTAATTATATATGAAAAAATACAAAACAACCAATTTAATTATTCGCAACTGTTGTATTACGTAAAACCAACATTATATACCAATGTGAATGTTCCTTGGGAGAATGTACTCCGACAAAAAACAACCCCCCCCCCAAAAACGCAGAAAAAACAAATATATATGTTGGGTATACGACAACTATACTAACAAGACGTCTTACTCTACACATGTCTGACCATTCGTCCATTGCGAGACATCAACAACAATATTCCTGTTCACAATATAACCAATTCCTGATCGACAACACAACTATCAACAAGAAAATAATAAATTCAAGCTACAGATCCTAGAAGCATTTTATATTAAAAAATTAAAACCGACACTGAACAGAATTAACTATGAATACTGCATTAATGTTCTGAAATGCCTATAAAGGTACATTTTTTTCACGCTTTAATGCGCGAGTGACCATGACATTATAACATTGAGGAAAATTCCCTAATGGACAATTTTTTTCACGTTCTAATGAACGATCAGGACATTGTCAACCGTTTGTATAATGAAAAATTACGGCAATGGATAGCAACGCACAGCTTTGTATAGATACTTATACCCCTGAACACCATATATAAAATATGAAGATGATCTTGGGAGAAGATCGAAAGTACTTGGGAAATGAAAATAAAATAAATTTAAACAGTTATAGCACATTTCTCTCATCCTTTAATATCAATACATGGAATGTTATTTGTGAGGTTGAACGGATGTTTTTAAAAATGGTATGTCTGTAATTTATTCATTCAGACATGCCTAAAAGAGAATTTGCTGCCTAAATAAACACACACACACACACACACACACACACACACACACACACACACACATATATATATATATATATATATAGCCTGAAAATTGTATTCAAACATAGAAACAGACTGAAGCCAATCGGTTGGCGGTGTTGACATTGATCGTGTACACTCTTATATATACACACGTTCTATCACTGATTTTGAGTACTTTTACCCCTAATATCAAAAAACTATTTTTATCATATGTGTATGCGTGCATGCGTGTGTATGTGTGTGTGTATGTGTATGTGTCTTTGTTTGTGTATGTATGTTTTTTCATGTATACACCATATATCTTAATACTAATCAATTTATGTGTGTGTCTTTGTCGAATATAATATCTATGTATGTGTGTAAATCGAATGTTATGCTTTTTTTATACTAATGTTCACCAAATACAAGGTAAAAAAGCCACTCACGTTGGAGGGGGGCGTTACTGTATGATAACAAAAAGTAATGTTCATGTGTTTATGCAGATAACGATTAGATGTCAATGTTGTAGTGACTGGGAAAACATCATGCCGGAAGACTCTTCTTTCCACAGAGCAGTTACTTGAAACGTCACTTGAAATGGTGGGTTCCAGTTGCAAAGGTCAAAGGTGGTAAGACGAGGGAATGTAGCTCGTTTGAACACACGCCATGGAATTAGGGGTAGAGCAGCGGCAGGCACGTAACATTTCGTCTGTCAGTGAGTGGTTGCAGGATGAAGACCGGGTAGATTTTTTTTTAACTCTATCAAGACAGGCAAGTAAGCTCAGATACGGCGACAATATTCCTTTTTTTGGTTTGATCTGGCTCTTGTATATTTAGAGTTTAACGGAGGGACGTGTCAGATGCTTATTGGAGCGGTATCAGGAATTAACCATTTTCCCAGGATCTTTACCAACGGATAGATGAGTAACACTGAATATATTGAATACATATATACAACTATATTTAAGTATACGTATGTGTTTACATATATACGGCGTATATCTTAATATTAAGTAATTTTTATGATAGAACGGTGGAAAACTACATCGATTTGATCATGTCTTTTTTTTTTAGTATAACTTTTTTTTAATCCTTTCACACCAAGCAAGGCGTAAATGCCACTAGTACGCAGGGGTTAAAGTGGGTGAAGGTGAGAGAGAAGAGAATTGAGGAAAAGACAAATGATGAACGGGATTCAAGAAGATGGC